GGGTGATTTATTGGAGAAACACAGACAACAAGACACTCTCTTATTTGTTTTAAATCCAACTTAACAGCTTACAACGCGAGATTATCTTATTCCGGGCATTGAGAGAAATTTATCTTAAAAAATGAAAATGAAACTTAAACAGGGCCACGTTAAGACACCTGGTGGATCCTGGTCGAAGTGCCCCCTAAATTTATTAGTGATAAATAAGAAAGGAAATAAAAAATGTTTTTTTTAAACTGTTTTGTTTTTAAATTAAATGAACGAAGGACGCTTCTCCCACGCCCCCCAATGCTAGAAACCGAGTTTCGGTACTCGTGGTGGGCAGAGCACAGATAGCCCATTGTGTTGCTTTATGCTTAATTACAAACAAACAAACGAAACCCACGCCCACCCGTGACTACATCGTGCTCTCTCTTTCGTACGTGCGATGGACCCTGGGCAACTGCCCCTTTAGCCCATTGGATAAAACGGCCCTGAACCTAAACCTACGAAGGTAAGTAAAAACCTAGAGCTAACTTACTCGTTAACTTGAACATTAAGTCTAACGGTTGCGTGAACAGCAGCTTGTTCAGAAAAGTATAAAAATATCTTTAACTTAAAAAATTACCCAATCACTATGATAAATGATAATAAAGAGTATACTGACACATCTAAATGAAAACTTTTTATAGTTTATTTTCCGCGACGTTTCAAACATGCTTTCTTCGTCAGGCAGCAAAAACCGTGTTACAGTTGAATTAGGCTTACTGTTTACTTTGATTTCTAATTATAATTTCTGATTTTAATACCTTAATAGCATATCTATATACTTTAACTAATTTTTCTTGTGTCTATATATATAACCACGGGTCTATTCCTTATGCACGGCTACATCTTTAAAGCTACAAACTACAAACTCGACGTACAGATACAACTTTATACGGGAAATAACACATACTATGTGGCCGCGGCGTCAGAGGCCGTTTTGAGGCCGCAAATTGAAGCCAAAGTGACCAATATAGCAATTTTTGGCAAACAGGACGACCAAGTGGTCTCAAATTGAAATGGACGATTTTTTTTTTTTCATGTAATGTGTGATCAAGAGGACTATTATTTACGTTTCTTCTCACTGTGAGAACTTCTCCTAATCATTGTATCCATGATCAATCATGTGTAAAAATGATTTAAAAACTTTTGTGCTCTTACCATCCCTCTCTCTTTCTTCTACACATACATGCCTAACTTCTAACTCTCCTTAACTGAAAAAGGCTGGTATTTTCTCTCGAACATGCACACACACTTCTTCAACTAAATAGGCTTGCTTCAGCCATATCTTTTGCTTTGCTTGCGTGTACTCGCAAGAATCAGCTATACGATGACTTTACAAAAACGTTTGGTATCGGCAAATTTTCATTTACGTTGTGTTGCAACGAGAAGAGAATAAATCAATTCCTCATTAAATGGAACGATGATAAAGTCAGAATACGTTACAAACGACACTTGACCACACAGCAGAAATCTGGACACCAAAATATAGGGAATTTTGTTTTGGAAACTTGAAATGTCAAGCAAACCACACGCAAGAAGCAGGAGCAATGTACCCAGTTTTGTTTAGATTAAAATTACTTTATATATTTATTTGTACTCTGTTATTTTTATTGATTTTAATCAAAATATTTAGTAAGGTAATGAAATAATTTTGATTTTGTTCTGCAAAAAATCATGATAAATATGGTTAATTTAATAAAAACAACTCAGGATACTTAAAGCCATTTTCATCTGAGAAACGCCAAGTTCTTTGCTAGTTTTTCTTTATAAAATTTTCTCATACAAAAATTTTGAATAATGTTTTAAATTTATCTATCTAACCAATATAAAAGCCACTGTGTGTGTGACGTCACGCTTGATTTCTCGAAATAGGAGGAGTCATAAAAGCCAAAATGCATTTATCCAGATAGAATAGTTCGAGTACTGTCTGCCCATTGCGATTTTAGTGACGGGGGTGCAAGGGGGCCGTGAGGGGGGTGCCGTGGAATCTTATAAGTGTAGTGAGCGTTGGTGTGATTTAAAGAAATTGGAGTGTGGCACATAGCACCTTTTTTCAGTTGTAATTATTGATTATCTTTGAGGGAATGTGGGTGGTAGTACTTGCCCCACCATTTTTGACGGACTATACGGTAGTTGTTTTAGTAAAAGTTTGTCTATATTTTAAGCCTATTGAATTAATAAAAGTTTTCTATTATAGACATTATTTAAAATCGTTACATCTATTGGCTGAAATTACAACACTGTTAATTGTTTGTTTGTTTTATTGTTAAGCCCAAAGCCGCAAAGATCAATCCCTTACTTTTAGCGCTCTAAGCCCTCGAGCTTACCACTGAGCCACCGGGAAGTAATATTAATTCGATAGGGCATGCTGATGTAAGATAATACTACCTACTAGCAGAGACTTACAAAAAATATGCGGTCAAATTAGTATCTTTATTGCAACAGTACGTCTTTAAATACAGGATTTCTAGAATAATACAGAATAATTCTAATCGTAGACACCGAAATCTATAAGTCCATTTGTCTTAGGCCTAACGTTAGTTAAGCCTTTATTAAGTACTGTCTATATTCGATAAAGAGATAAATTAACACTGTAATTTGTGTACGTTTTTTCTTGTAGTTTAGTTAAGGTTAAACTTTACCGTCCTTAATACTATGAATAAATAAACTTATATTGTTATTCTACGACCTAACGTTAAACCTTTTTAAAAAACATTGATAAGCTTTTAGTAAGTCGTTGTACAAAATGTCTACTACGGTATATTTACATATACTTTTTTTTTATATCCGTTGAAATGAAATGCGCGCGCATTTTTAGGACAGTCAAAACTGAGTATTATTACAATAGATTATAGGCAAATACGTTTCTAATTATATTCTAAAAAGACATGATCATTTAGATGTGTGAAAATTATTATTATTACGTCAGCTGAGTTCGTTCATGTATTATGGAGAAAACTTAAATAGTTAAATAAAAGTTGAAACTAGACTGAATTGAATAACTGGCAATATTTACCTAAGGTAAATCACGTTAAATTCAACACCTGTTATTGGCCATATTTAGTTCGTCCATCTCACTTTTCCTTTCCACCGGTAGGTGGTGTTCTCAGTAGATAAGCTATAAATGCAATGCGGCAGTGATAGGAATAGTGGTGCTTAACCCAGTAGTTACTGGAACGAGAACGAAATAGTAGGTCAGCATAATTAATTATACAGTTCCCTTTTGTAGTTCAATGGCTTCAATGTGACAGAGCTTAGTTCTCGTTATGATTCATGCAATCTAGGACTAATAATAGATTAGTGTATGCTGTTTCTATTGTTCGGTGTTTTTTCTCAGAACGAAATGCGAGTGATTATTATATCTTTATATATTTCTTTCCGATTCCAGTTTCTCAGCTCTGAAGTTAGATGCGATTCGAATGTTCTTTAAGAAAGTTGTTATGAAATCTCGCAACTCTGAAATTCGATTCAAATATTTCTTAACGCTTCTCTTATAAAAACCTGCTCAATCCTGAAGTTGTATGCAATTCGAACGTTAAATGAAGTTCGAATGCTTTTTTAGGAAAAACTATTTGTTTGAAGATATCAATATTTTGCGCCAAAATGTGAAGTTTATCACGTGCAGTATATCGCTTTGATGACTAAAAACTATGAAATTTGAAAAATAAAATAATCGGCTTTTTTTTTCTTCGTCTGCTAATTACAGTCGCTTAATCACAACTGACACCTGGCGGAGGTCATGGACTAGTCCATTTCCTTAGAGAGGTTGTTGAACGTGGTGCTTATTTGGCAAGTAAAAGAGCAATTTGACAGTCCAGTAAATTAAGAGCCGTGTTTCTAATGGCGCCGTATTCTTTCTACATCTTTCGTGACATGGGAACTGATTGTTAATATTTCTACCAAACCTTATTCCTACTTCATTGTGGCGCTCATATGTAAACACACATAAGAGTATCTTCGCCAGATGAGTGCAGAACCGCGAGTTGCTAAGATCGATATAACGGTTTACTGTGCAATGTATACAATACTTATTAACGGTGACTCAGTGCATTCTGAGTAACTAAGGGTGTTTTGGACGCTCAGCGGTAGAGAGAGATGTATGAGTGAAAGTTTAGACTACCATTATAAACTAAGTACCCTCGTGTTTGAACTCTTTTTTTTTAGGCTTTATCTAAAGAGCAAGTTTTGGACTGATGATAAACTTGAATGTTGTGTATTTATTTCACCTTCTGAAGAGTATTTCTAGTTTCTTATTTATAGTACATGTTAGCTTCTCTTTTAACAGAACTCTAAGGTCAATTTCAGGTTTTGATGCTTAAGTCTGCCTTAGTAATTGGATTCTTCAACCTTGGATGTTTAAGTCTACTAGAGTCTTGTTCTCTCTCTCTCTCAGCTTATGGCAGCTTAAGTTGCTAGAGTCTTGTTCTCTCTCTCTCAGCTTATGACAGCTTAAGTTTGCTAGAGTCTTGTTCTCTCTCTCAGTTTATGGCAGATTAAGTCTGCTAGAGTCTTGTTCTCTCTCTCAGCTTATGGCAGCTTAAGTCTGCTAGAGTCTTGTTCTCTCTCTCAGCTTGTGACAACTTAACCCTACCCATATCTTATTTTGCCTCTCAGCTTAGGGCAGCTTAAGTCTGCTAGAGTCTTCTCCTCCCCCAGCTTGTGACAGCTTAGTCTGCCTGGATCTTTTTTTCTCCCTCAGTTTCTGATGTTTAACTTTGCCCTAGTCTTGTCTCCCTCTGCTTGTGACATTTTAAATCTGCCAGAAACTTCTCTCTCAGCGTGTGACAGCTTAAGTCTGCCTGGATCTTGTTTCTCTCCCTCATTTTCTGATGCTTTTTTGTTAATTGCAAGTGTGATTTTTGTATTTATAACAAAGAATTAAAGAAAGCAGTATAATTTTATCATTTTGAAGAAACATTTATAACGGGCAGTATTAAAGTGAGTCTTAGTTTCCCTTGTCTGTTTTTTTTCAGCACCAGCAAGTGTAACTATGACCGGAAGATAAGTCACAAATCGATTTCAGAAAACGTGCAAGATGACTTCCGCTGAGACAGAATCAACGTGCAAACCAGTTATGTTAGAGACCACCACGCTAAAGAAGGGGTTACTATGGCAACAGAGGGATAAATTCTTCAGTCGCTGGAAAGAGCGGTATTTTATGTTAACACTGGACTACTTAGCCTGTTTCAAAAGAGGTTCAAAAGTGGGGACTTCAGAGATGGGAAGTTTTCTTTATAAGGTAGGATTTTTTTCTTTTTTGTTTGTTTCCTTTGAGTCCTCGGGCTCTTTGAGCATGCGGAAATAGCTTAAAGCACATAATATGTATCAAGATTATTAGAGACGTAAAATATAATCAAATTTGATATACAATGTGAGATAAATCATTTTTTAGTGTATTTACTTGCTGTGTGGTTTCATCACTCTTGTTTGAAGACAAACTATTTTTTTCAACAACTGTTTTACAAAATAAATTATTATTAATTTCAAACTAATTACCTAACTGTTGTTATTTATTTAAATTGCTATTTACGCTATTGACTGTTTGCTTCGGAAATATGAGCAGAAGGTCTTAATGAGAATCTCTGAAATTATTTACCTCACTAGATGGCGCCTTAGTTGATGCGAATAAACATTTGTCTGTCGTCTTCCAGGGCCGACAAAACAAGTTTAGAAACACTATTAAACCAACACAAGTAATATGTTCTAAGATGTTTTTTTGATTGGAAATTTAAGATTGAAGACTCGTCGTATTTTTAATTTCGTATCTTAAGTTAGCTTATGAAGAGCAGAGAAAAAGTTTTTTTTTTCAGTTTCATACAATCATTTTAAAGTCACAGGTGCAAGCATACTGAAGTGATTTAACAAGTTAAGTACTTATTGAACGACCCCCTATTCTCAAGCGCTTGACGCTTACCTATGTAACGGACATTAACTTCTCAAAAGCGCCTAAAACTGTAAGGGATAATTTAAAAAGTATCCCGTATTGCCTCGAATTAATAATCCCTTTCTCAGCCTTAGCTTTAAAATATTCTACACATAGTCACTATGTTCTCAAGTTATCTGTTGGAAGTATTTAAAATATGCTGTTAAAAAAAACTCCCCCCAGTGGCACAGCGGCATGTCTGCGGACTTACAACGCTAGAAACTGGGTTTCGATACCCGTGGTGGGCAGAGCACAGATAGCCCATTGTGTAGCTTTGTGCTTAACTTCAAACAAATAAACAATAAGCTGTTAGAAAAAGAAGAGAGAGAGAAAACAAGGCAAGAAAGCCACCAGTAATACATGAAATTAAATGTATTTATGAAAAATAAATATAAGATACCGAACATACACCTATAATATGTATGTGTGTGTCTGTAACAATTATACGTTCATATAACAAATAAATGAATCTTACAGATAGATAAATATTCAATATATAAATATTTACAGATTACAAAGTCTTAAATATTAGATACTTATAACGCGTGGATGTTATTAAATAAACAAATCAGTTTTAGTTATATCTTTGATAAATAAACAGATTCTTTCAGGCAAGCAGTTTTAGTTTTATATTTGATAAACAAACAGATTCTTTCAGGCTAGCAGTTTTAGTTATATCTTTGATAAATAAACAGATTCCTTCAGGCAAGCAGTTATAGTTATATCTTTGATAAATAAACACAGATTCCTTCAGGCAAGCAGTTCTAGTTATATCTTTGATAAATAAACAGATTCCTTCAGGCAAGCAGTTCCAGTTGTGTCTTTGATAAATAAACAGATTCCTTCAGGCAAGCAGTTTTAGTTATATCTTTGATAAATAAACAGATTCCTTCAGGCAAGCAGTTTTAGTTGTGTCTTTGATAAATAAACAGATTCCTTCAGGCAAGCAGTTCTAGTTATATCTTTGATAAATAAACAGATTCTTTCAGGCAAGCAGTTTTAGTTGTGTCTTTGATAAATAAACAGATTCTTTCAGGCAAGCAGTTTTAGTTATATCTTTGATAAATAAACACAGATTCCTTCAGGCAAGCAGTTTTAGTTGTGTCTTTGATAAATAAACAGATTCTTTCAGGCAAGCAGTTCTAGTTATATCTTTGATAAATAAACACAGATTATCACACGCCACGTAGTTATCATTTAGTACAAGGAATGTAGATTTAGATTATGGATGTTGTGACATTTAAAGCATTGAAAAAAACCAACAAGATCACTGATAATATAAATAACCATATTATCACAGGTTTAAAAAATGATTAGTTTTGTTAAATGATCCTAAAAATGAGACGACTTTTATTAATTTTATAGTAGTATTTTTACCATGGTTAATTTTTGACGCGAATAGAAAATAATAGGAAAGGATAAAAATGCGTTTACTAGGAAGGAAGTAATTTGATAAAAATGCGTTTACTAGGAAGGAAGTAATTTGATAAAAATGCGTTTACTAGGAAGGAAGTCATTTGATAAAAATGCGTTTACTAGGAAGTAAGAAATTTGATAAAAATGCGTTTACTGGGAAGGAAGTAATTTGATAAAAATGTGTTTACTAGGAAGGAAGTAATTTGATAAAAATGTGTTTACTAGGAAGGAAGTAATTTGATAAAAATGCGTTTACTAGGAAGGAAGTAATTTGATAAAAATGCGTTTACTAGGAAGGAAGTAATTTGATAAAAATGTCCAAGATAGCCAAGAAACAGTGCTTTTTAATTGGTTTCAAAACTCGGAGTTGTTAAGAAAGAACAGTGTTGTACGTTACTATAAGAAAGAAGAAAAGCAGTGAGAGAGACCAGAATTAATGGGATGTTCAGCATGAGAAGTAAAACCTATAGAAACGGTTTTCGCTCTTTTTATATCGTAACTAGCGCCATCTGTAGTTTAAGTGAAATAACAAATTAAATCAATTTTGATCAAGTAAAGGTCTGTCATCGAAACTGTTGTGTTTTATATCCCACTTGTTTGGGGGTTATTACAAATATATATATATATATACCTATTTCATAAAATTATTTTTTACTCAACTTTAAGATATAATTATTTTGTGTAGTCTAAAATATTCGAACAGATACATGTTGTTTTGTTTCAAAAATTTGCTCAAATCTACACAAGGGTTATCTGTTCTAGCCGTCCCTAATTTTGAACTGATAAACTACAGGGAAGGTAACTAGTCACTCTTAAAGAGCACTCACGGTTCCAATGAACGGGGCGCATTTTTGTGGCAAAGGGTTGCTAACCATGAACACTCAGATTCACAGTCTGAAGATACTAGCCACTAGGTAACGCCTTAAAGTAAAGACACGTGATAAATACATAATTTCAGAAGTTCCTAATCAAAGAGGTATTACATTTTAACCTCCCCCCCCCCTTCCAGTGGCTCAGCGGCAAGTTTGTGGGCTCATGGTGTTAAAAATTGGGCTTAGATACCAGTGATGGGTACAACACAAATAGTCCATTGTATAGCTTTGTGCTTAAGGACAAACATTTCAGTTTTGATTCCAGTTGGATGTATCTTCTTCAAACCAAAAAACATTTAAATAAGTAACAATATAAATAAGATTTTATTAACCAGGAATTACGTAATTGGATTTTATTAACCAGGAATTACGTAATCAGATTTTATTAACCTGGAATTACGTAATCAGATTTTACTAACCAGGAATTACATAATCAGATTTTATTAACCTGAAATTACGTAATCAGATTTTATTAACCAGAAATTACGTAATCAGATTTTATTAACCAGGAATTACGTAATCAGATTTTACTAACCAGGAATTACATAATCAGCTTTTACTAACCAGGAATTACGTAATCAGATTTTATTAACCAGGAATTACATAATCAGATATCACTAACCAGGATTACGTTGTTACAAAGGAAACAACTGAGTTTCTATCTCATAACTCAATATCTATCTACTTTCATTGATAGGTTAATCTGGCAGACATTGATGGTCTTCAGTGGGCAGACAAAAAGCGAGATGGAGTCATTGCAATAAGGGTTGGTCAAGAAGGCCAGTTGCTGTTATGGTCACCTCAGGGTTTGGATGATTGGATGTTCTCTCTGCGAAATGCTATGAGTCGCAGCAAGGGGAGGCGAGAAGTCCTCCGAAAGTCACAGACCTTGGTGCCCCAATTGTCTGATGCTGGTTTAACAAGACGGTAAGATTTCTTTTGTCTCCGTTGACACAAGGAATGAAGCACGTCATCGTGACATTGACAGTTGACGTACAGATAATTTATTGGAGATACACAGGTAACTACAGCGTAACAATCCACACCAAGGTCAGTGTTATAACGAAAGAGTTTTTGAAAGTAGGCTCCTTCCTAGTATAAGCTGTTTAGTTAAAAATAATCCAACTTAGCCTAAAATCCTGCATTACGGAAGTTAACACCTTGATCTTTGTTCTCGAAAATTCAATGCCAAATACATTAATAGGTGAAAATTTCATCTTACTACATCTAGTGCTACGAGTAGAAACACAAGTTAAATAATAATCACATTAAACACGTAAAGCATATATATTTCTGTTAAGTTTTATTACTCGAGAAGAAAAAGTAAGATCACGATACGCCTTTTCAGAAAACTGGGTAATTATCTAGAGGGCGTCACAATCAAAGAAAGAAGATAGTTCAACGTTATTTTTATTTCTTTTTTCTGCTATAAAAAACAAAGTTGAAGAACGTTATTGAAATATCGTATTGAAATATATATGCTTTATTTTTCGTTATGATTTAAAATTTTCAAAAGTTAAATCAAAGAACCTTTTGTCTGAATCTCTTTCTTTTATCATACGTTTCATAAATTGTTTTATAGATATTCTTAGTGCTAAACATTATAGGTGGCTAGCTGGATTTCTAAACAATGAAAAGTGTGAATGGGTATCTGAATAAGACTTCCGTAACAAAGAACCAGCGTTAGTTTTACGGACTTACATCGACTTTCTTTAAACGTCAGAGCTTTAGCGAAAGAGAATAAGACATTGTTACTTATTTTCAACGTTTATATACAATACCTTTCTCAAGCATTGATACTAGTTAAAAAGCTTAGTTAAAACTCAAAATAATATTTAAATAACATAGCGAGTTAAAAACGACAACAAAGAAACTTAGTGCGTTTGATATATATAGGCTAACTAAACGTTGAAAGCATCAAAATACTACATTGAGACCTCTAGCGATCAAACTTGGAACACTAATGCGATTGAGAAATTTAAATATTATTATATTTTTAGAAAAACGTCATATATTTTCAAAAATTCACCTGAAGAAGGTATTTATAAAATAATTATAAACAGAATTATGTTTATAAACAGACATTATTTTCATAAGACATGACAGTGAACTTCAACTTAATATATAACTGGTGAAAAGGTGAGAATTTCTTCATTATAATTAATTCTTATTTTCGAGCTTATTTCACATTAAGTACTGTCTAAAACGTGGTTTTGGCGATTGAAAGTTATATGACCTCACAAAATTAGGGTTAGCCAAACTTTCAGATTTTATGCATTAAAGCTTAATTCAATTTGAATATTTCGAACAAATAACATACATAGTTAGAGGGGATACGCTTTATATATAAACATTCTATTTGTGTGTGTTACTTTCATATATTAGATTAACCGTATTTAAAATTTATTACTTAATTAGAACATATTGTATTATTCAGTATAAGAATAAAATTGAACTGAATTTCCTCTTCGGTATTCATCGGTTTGACACGGTTTCTGTACGGTTATATAAGGCTGTGACGTCTCAAAAGAAGCAAAATATGATTGGTAGGCTGTTTTTGTTTTTCAGGTTAAGTACGAGCTTGTTTTCTATGAAATATTCTCTTCAACTTTATTCCACTTTCTGACTAGGCCTAACAATCAGAGCTGACTGGCTTGTGTTAAAATATAGTGATCAATTTGATATGCAGAAAACATAGAAGTCGAGACTTACTTACTGCACGTTATCTTTTAGCCATCTGTTTACCCTGCAACACACACTGTCTGAGAGCTCTGTAGAGTCTCCCGTGATGCGTCGCCGCAACACCAGCATGGACCTACATCGTTTAAGTGACCTGCGTCCTGTAGCAGAGAGACAGATAACTCCGCAGACCGGAAGATACTCAGATGAAACTAGCGGTGAGTTTGCACATTACATTAACAGTTGGAATTTCGTAATAAATCCAATCATCTTAACAATCGGGTGCTTTAGAATTTGTACGTGTATCAGAGCTGAGCTTGTGTTTAATTTTTACTATTCAACCATACTATCAATTTAAAAAACAAACAATATTATCATAACTGCCAAGAACAGTGTTATTTAGAATCAACTTAAATTATCTTTTATTAAATTAACTATTTTTAATATCTGAAATGTCCACAGAAGTGTTGGATATGATAAAGACATTGTAAAATGTTTAATTGTTTGGTTAATAGATTACAAATCCAAGGGCATTACTGCAAAGAACCGAAATCATATTTGGGTATTCATTTCAAGCCGTCTGTTGCCTACAGATTGGGTTAGAGAAAACTGGCAGGTTATCTTTTAATTTTATAAGGGACACTTTTTTGATTTGGGCCAAAAATTATATTTGTTTCAACTTTGTTACCAAGCTTTAGGTTATGTTGTGGAAAAAAATAGACAAAACTTTAACATTGCAGTAACGTAGTAAGGCCTACAAGCGATGAGCATTGCTTTGTCATAGATGGTTTTAGTTTCTTTTTTTTAACGTTGACTTGTCGTGTACTTTAGATTTTAGGATAAATATTCTGTGGTATTTTATATTCACTCATGAATCCAGTCTTTAGCTGTAACTGTTACATATTTGCTGAATTATGCATTCTGTATTTGCTATAATATTTATTACACTTTACAATTTACTAACAAACTGATTAGGTTTATTATATATTCTACTTTCTAGGTTACACGAGGCTGTTGGAGCCTTTACTGTCCGGATAGTAATAAAAAAATATATAAGCCAACATTTTGCACTTTTGGCTTCACCAGGGCTAGTTTGAAACAGTCCTTGTACTACTAACTTTTATGAAGCTACAAGGGTGAAATGTTGGCTGAAATAAAGTTTTTCATTATTATCTGTAGAGTAAAGGTTGTAATTTTTTACTCCATCTTTGTTACCATAGAGTCTAAATCTCTCCAGTATGCAATAAAAATACTGAAAAACAGCAAAATGTTATTATTGAGCTTATATTGTGTAAATTACACTTCACAGATATCAAAAATATTAAATATATATTGTGGTTTACTTCCATACTTGTCATTGATGTTCTTCTGGTGCATCTTAGCTGCCCCCCAGTGGTACAGCGGTATGTCTGCTGAATTACAATGCTAGAAACCGGGTTTCGATACCCCTGAGGGGCAGAGCACAGATAGCCCATTGTGTAGCTTCGTGCTTAATTACAATAAAACAAGCATCTTAGCTCCCTAGTTATCAGTAATACCTGATTGGTTTTGAAACTACTGATTGTCGTCTGTTTTATTTTATCTAGAAAATTTCTGTTGACTTTAATGAGTATATTTTACTTTAATTATTGCCACTAGTATATATGTTTTATGTTCTTTAGGTCCTAACGACATTGAGTCTATCGATGAGAGCAGTCTTGGCATTCCCTTTGAACTAGACTATCAATCTCCATCTCGTCTGATCCTTGCCCCGCGACTCGCACCTCAGTGTTCGGGTGGTTCTCACTCTTCACTTATCTCATTAGGACGAGGTTCCTTGCGAAGCCACTTAGACAGATCATCTCCACGTTCGTTGCAGGTGTCACCAGCTCTCTCTCAAAGATCTCTATATGCCCAACATATACTCTCCAACCCAGAAGTCCCTCCTCCCTCAGACTCCCGACTTCTAAAAACTGGCGTATCTTCAGCCACTTCTGAATTTTCATTTATTCATCCAGATTCTCCTCTGACCAGTGTGTTCAACAGAGGGAGTTTGAGTCAAGCTCAGCAAGAGAGAAATGCAGTATTGAGTGGAAAGAAGGAATACACTCATCCCATCTCCTGTTCTTCAAGTGAAACATCTCAGATTGAAAGTTCTCGAAGTACAGGACCTCCTGGAGATGAATCTCGTCCATGCAGCATCCATGGTCAACCTTTACTGACCATAGAAAAATCTGCATTTTCTACTCAGCCTCCTGACATAATACCCCTAACAGTCAATGGACAGCCAGTTTTCAAGCAGCCCTACAAACGTAGGATAAGAGCTTACAATAGTGTTAAGTCAGACTCTCCATTTTTTAATGCTAAACTTACAGTAAGCAACAGCAGTCCATTGAAAGGCTCTTTAGGAATAAGGTGATATCTGTGATATAAAGATATCATTGTTCTTGGAAAATTGAGATCTACCAATATTTAAATGACATGGGAGTACAAGTCGTGTTGGTGATGTCACTGGTTAACCTGTAAATTTCCTTACCAGGATTTTACAGATGTGAAACTTTTATAGAAAAACGAATATTAAGTTTACATGGATTGGTTTTTTGAATGAAATTTATAAACAACATGTTTGAAATCAAAACATTTTTTTGCCATCAAGATTAATAGGTAATATTTATTATCAGAATGTTATTGTTATAGGTTGTTAAATATTTCACATAATTTATTGAAAATATCTAAATATAAGAACGTGAATAGTTAGGCCACCTGCCACAAATGGAAGAAGTCCTTTAAATTATCATTATTTCATAAAGGCTTTCTACTTCCATGTTCGTTGTATAAAAAGGGTTAAGAATTGATCTGTGAAAATGGTGTTTAATTATTAGCATTGTCAATTGTGCAATTATTTGAAACGAACACTAGTACACAGGGTGTTCTTAATGATACTTTAAGAATCTTTAGTTTATCATCTTTTATTTCTGTTACCTTAGTTCGTTGGCACTCCAAGAATCTTCAAGTGTCATCATTATCTTTTGTGTCTGTGACTTAATCTTCTTAGTCATCCAAGAATTTTGTAGCTGTGTAATGCTTGTGTCCACAACTGTAGTCTTTAGAGTCTAAAAATCTTGTAGTTTGCTTGCTCTTGTTTATGTAAACAAAAAATTCACTGTAGCATTTTGTGTTGGTGCTCCTGGAACCTTACTTTTATTGGCTCTTCTTTCTTAAACCCAGGTTCTCTTGATACTCCAAAAAATCTTTTAAGGTCATCAGTTGAGTTTGATCTTCAAAGTTGTTTCATATTCCACGAGTCTTGGAGCTCATCATGACAGTTATTTTGTTAAATACTTTAACTTACTAATATTTATCACTAGTTTTATGGTGTTATTGTTATGGCATGTCGTGTTTTAGCAGAGGAAGTCAGAAAAAGAAAATATTATAATCTTACAAAAATACGTTTTAACCAACTTTTCTGTATTAGCAAGCATTTGACATCCTGGATTAATCTTGTTTATTCCTAGTATAGATAAAAACTTTCATATTTTTTCCCCTAATTAAATAGTTTTTAGAATATTGGATGATTTGTGGAGACTTCCAGTACAGACCTCCAGCTTCTCCTAAAAAGTTATCATATTTACATTATATATGGAAATTACTAGAATTATTCATGGTATTTAAAGATAAACGTAGAATATGTACGGATTGAGGAGATTTTTAATACGAGAATATGTACGGACTGAGGAGATTTTTAATACTAGAATATGTACGGTCTGAGGAGATTTTTAATACTGGAATATGTACGGACTGAGGAGATTTTTAATATTGGAATATGTACGGATTGAGGAGATTTCTAATGCTAGAATATGTACGGACTGAAGAGATTTTTAATACTAGAATATGTACGGATTGAGGAGATTTTTAATACGAGAATATGTACGGATTGATTGGGAAATTCAGAGATGATCGGGGGGGGGATATTACCATTAGTTGGTATTAACTTAAAATATTTACATGATTATTTATGGGTTTCCATATGTTAATATTATGATAAAAGTGATTGATAAAATGTATGGAAACATTTCTAACAGATCATAATAAGCCAATGTTTGGAAACATTTCTAACAGATCATAATGTTTGGAAACATTTCTAACAGATCATAATAAACCAGCGTATGGAAACGTCAGTATAGCCATTTATCATTAGTAGGGGAAAACAAAGACTTCAAACAGCCCATATTAACATTAAATCAACTCGAATAAAGGAGGGGATATAAAGATTTAAACATTTTGTATGAAGTTATTTACAATAATATAAGGTAAGTAAAGATTTCAAACAGTCCATATCAACATGGAATTATTGTGGATGATGTAGTGGATGTAATGACTTCAAACAGTCCATATCAACATGGAATTATTGTGGATGATGTAGTGGGTGTAATGACTTCAAACAGTCCATATCAACATGGAATTGTTGTGGATGTAATGACTTCAAACAGTCCATATCAACATGGAATTGTTGTGGATGATGTTGTGGAT